GAAGTTTGAGTGTCAAAAAGGGAAGAAAAATATTTTTTAGGCCAAAAAGGGAAACAAATTTTAAAAAAGGACCAAATAAGGAATTCTCTCAACCAGATATGACGCCCCTGACCAAGGAAAGGAAGCACTTGGCTAGACTATGTACTTCATCATTGACAACACGACCTTCGAAAATAAAAGTACAATTAAGTGCAATTACTTTCTTCTCTTTTTTGTGGGGTCCTCTATTTTCTGTTTTGGGAGACAGTGTCCTTTATCATGTTTTGTTTGAAATGGCCTAGCGAAGAAGAGGAAGCCAAGAATATGGTATCTAGGTTTGGGCCTAGCCGTGAAAATTAAAACCATACCACATCACGAAGAACAGATAGTAAGACTGCTCTTCCGGGCGTCCCTATGTCTCTCTTCACGCGAGATGCACGGGGGCTCTCGCGTGAAGGCATTTGCAAGATGGGCCGGCCTAGGCACGCGGGAGCCACAATCTTGTTTTTTCATGTTTTTTGTTTTGTTTGTTGCTTTTTTTACTTTTGTTTACACTTCCAAATCTTGTAAAAAGATATATCAAAAACAATACTTTACACTAAAAAATTTAAAAAATGTTAACCAATCATTTGAATTTTTAATAGTTTATATAGAAAATGTTTACCATTTATACCAACTATGTATAAAAAAATATGTGTGAAAAGGTTGATCATGTATTTAAAAAACATCAATCAAGCATTTTCAAAAAAACGTTAAACAAGTATTTGAATTTTTTAATCAAGCATTTAGAAATTGTTAAATGTTTTATATAAAAGGTTGACCATCTATTCTTTAAAATTTAATCTTGTATTTAAATTTTTTTAACCAAGAATTTGAAAAATGTTAAATTTGTACGGGAAAATGTTGACCATTTATTCAAAAATCTTTATCTATATGGTCTTCAAAAAATGTTAAACTTGTATTTGAAAAATCTTAATCAAGAATTAAAAAGGCTAAATGTCTATATATAAAATGTTGATTATGTATTCAGAAAAGGTTAATCTTGTTTTTGAAAAATGGTAATCAAACATTTGAAAAATGTTATATGTGTATCAAAAAATGTGGACCAGGTATTAAAAAATGGTCGATCTTGTATTTGAAAAATGTTAAATGTGTATTACAAAAATGTATTAGATATATATACCAAAACGTGTATAAAAAAACAGTGACAACCAAGATAAAACCAAAAAATGATGTAAAATGAGAAAGAAAGAAACAAAACCAAAGAAAAGAAAAAAAATCCAGAGAAAAAAAAAGAAACAAAGAAGATCGAAGAAAATAAAGAAAAACAAAAGAAAATAACAAACCAATAAAAACAGAGAAAGAAACAAAGAAAACCGGTGAAAGGATAAAAACAAACAAAAATAAAAAAATCAGTGAGAAAACCGTCTCTTTTACCTCAAGCAGGTCGTGCCCTGCTGTTTTTACCACAAACTCGACACTTTTTTTTTAGCGTAACCACAAACATCGTTACCAACCATCCAGGAGACCTGGGTAGATCCCGGGTGCTTCCTTTTTCTTCCATTTTTTAAGTGTGCGCTAAGAGGATGGCCCGTTACTGTAGATGCTTCAGACGAGACCTTTTTCCGTCTTTGGCTGAAGTAAGATATAGCTCCCGCATGCTCGAGAAGGTAGTAATGGGCTGGGTTGTTACTGTAGACGCTTCAGGCGAGAGCTTCTTCCATCTCGCGTTGAGCGAAATATAGCCCCCGCATACTCGAGAAGGTTTTAGGCTGGCCCACTACTGGTATGCTACCTCCATTGGTTTCATTTCAATCTTTTTTTCTACTTTTTATCATTTTTCAAAAAAATCGAAATACATATCTTCTAAAACATGATTTACTTAAGTTTTAAGAATCATCCATCGTGCATTTAAAATAATGTTCATGCTGTGTAAGAAAATGTTCACTCATTTTAAAAATATATTTGTGATGTTTTTAAAATTTTAAATTACACAAGGTAGGCTTACCCAAGTCGGTGTAGATTGGAAAAAAATGTTTCTGTAACTGAAAAAAAAACTTCGAGCACGACGTAGGCTTGGGTTGATTGGTGTAGATTGAACAGTAAAATTCGTCCTTCACAATGCACTATTTGAGCTCATGTTTATTTGAATGGATTCTCCATCGATTTGGTCCTTCTGGCAGGAGGGTTCGAACGAGGGAGGTACGGTGCATCAGAGATGATCATCTGCATGGATGCATGTTGACTGTAGGTGTGGACAGCCTCTTTCCATGCAGGTCAGACCGAAGACCACTCTTCATCCACCAAGAGAACCATGACATCTCTTCCTCCGCAACGAGAAGGAGAAGAAGCTCTTCTTCCGTGACATGAAGGAAGAGTGTGTCTCCATGCTGGCAGTGAAGGAAGAGTTACTCTATTCCAGACAGGAATGACTGTGTATTAGAATTGAATAAAAAGTAAACGGGGATATAGTTTCGAGATTTATAAAATAAATATTTTTTAAAAAAATCTATCTTTCAATACATATAAAGTTCTTTATAACACGTGATGGACTGTTTTACAATGGGATGAACAGATTACAAATATGTGAAAAACATTTTTTTAGATACGTGATGAATATTTCAATATTGGATTTTTTTTGTAAATACGCTATGAACATTTTTAAATACGAGATAAACATTTCATAAATATGCAATGAATAAATTCCAAATATGGAGTGAATATTTTACAAATACCCGATGATTTTTCTGAAATACACGGTCATATATTTTTATAATTTTTTATGGGTATTTATAACTGTGCAGTGGATATATTTTTTTGAATACGTAATGACACTTTTCATATAAGCATGATCGTGATTTGTTTTAATTTTATGTTTATATATATATATATATATATATATATATATATATATACCCTTTTTAAAACTGCTAAATATTTTATTTCTTTTAACATATTCAATATTTCCAAAGAAGAAAGACAGGCTCACAACTGTAAATGGGCCTGAAACAGTCTTCAAGCCCCATGAGTTTACTGTTGCAGAGAAACACAATTTTTTACAAATATGTTATTTGGATGTATTATACATGAATATTGTAAGAAATGTTTTATATCCGGGAAATAACTTGACGTGTGTGCGAGGGAGAAAGAGGGAGACTCGTCTTGTTTTGGAGTTCTCCAATCAATTTCAGCCTTTTAGGCCTCTTTGTCTTTGGGTTAAATGATTTTCTAGAATTTGAATCCTATTTTGTTTTTCTATGAAAGCGTAGTATTGAGTTACTTATATGCACTCATTCTATACTAATCTTACATGAGCTTAAACCTTAATTTGTTTAATTCTGTGAGAAGTCCTGTGCACTTCCACACTATTTCTCTCTACCCTCTCTTCTATCCTTTCTCCTCAGTCTCTAAAATTTATATGTTTGTTTTTCTCTGCCGCAATCAAAGGCACATATTGCAAAATTCGTGTTCAAAAAGCCTATAAGATACTAAAAAATTGTGTTTGTTTTTCTCTGCATATTCAATGGCACATATTGCAGAATTCATGTTCAAAAACCCTATCGGATTCTCCTCGGAAAAAAAAAGCCTATCGGATTCTACGGTAGGTGACACTTAGTCATGCATCTTTCCTATCGTACGTTTTCAAATTCATTCGACCCAAAGAAGTCCTTAACATTAACCTGAAGATCATATTTAGAATCCCAATAATCATAGGTCTCTACCTACGTACGATCCAACGGACCGGACATGAACATTCTTATAGCATTCCAAACGGTTCACGCCGGTTGGGAACAAGGAAATGAACATCAATGCCAAATTATTGCTGGGACCAAAGCTGATTGGGAGTATAAAGACGTGCTGCACCTGCAAGGCCTCCCGTCCTCCTCCGCTCCATGAAGACGTACGTTGCTTTCACGGATCGGCGGACAGTAGCCGATGTTCCCTGACAGCGATCTGTTTGTCCAGATGAGATCGTCTCACTGGCCACATTCAGTGTGACCCCTACTTGCATGGATAGATGAAGGTGACATGCATGCCGAAGATGTACTTCAAAATTCCAATCAATTTCACTTCCTCTTTTGTCGATTTTTCCCGCCCACGGCAAAATCTACCAGGGCCCGGCCCGATCAATCTCCTTCAAAATATATTTCGTTGTTGGAAGACATTTTCCTTTTGTTCCTTCTCAACGGTATTGCTCGGCTATCCGCTGGAGGGTTTTTTTTTTCTGAAATGGAACACTTGTATATTCCATTAAGGCTCGGTTAAATCACCGGCTATGACAACTCAAGTCTGGGCTTCATACAAATGGAAGGAAACAAGGCATGCAAAAAATGTTTCGTTCCTCATTGCCTCCAGCAACACGGTACAATCAAACCCTAGTTGGAAGAACCACCATTCATTCAGAACGCATAAAACCATTGACAGATACAAACAAGTTCTCGCCAAAAAAAAAAATCTACAAACGACACGAAGAGAAACCACCATGTCCTGATCGTCGACTTTACTCATTTCACCACAAATTTCTCCGAGCCACGGGCATAAGGATCTGGGATAAGCCACGCACCACCTGGCATCCTGCACGTTACATTGCATCTTAGAATCTTAGAAAGTACACAGCAGTAAAGAAGAACAAATTGATCTCCAAAGTCATCGGAACAAAATCAATAAATAACATTAATTTTGATTTCAGTGGCCGTATCTAACTATTCTTATGGATAAAGTGCAATGGCTTATTTTTCTCTCGAGTACGGATATTCAGAGGGTTAGTCCTTTCTCCGCCACAGCATGACAAGGAAGATGTGTGCCAAAGAATGCTTATCCCTAGCGCAAATGAGAGTAACCATCTCTGAAGTATCCAATTATTCTTATGAATAAATCTGATGTAATCTAATCATCTTGATTCTACAACAGAAACCCGAACCATCGAACCATTGTCGAAGGGGAAGCACCGGGTCCATCACAATAGAAACATTTCTGATGCAGTAAACAAAGAAAACATTTCTGGAATTCTTCACCTACCTTCAATCGATCATGTCAGTGTCTATCCGGTCATGCTTTCTTTTGTTGGGCCTGGAGAAGAAGCAGAACTGAGCCCAATTCTTCTTGGCCTTCGCTGGCTGTGGCTTTGTAGTTTTCTTGGCAGCATATTCAGCCATGTACTGGACGGCAGCCTATAAAACATGACAAGAATAAGTTAAAACCAGTCACTAAACTACGTATCATCCACGGTGGATAATTGAAAATAAAGGAGAGTTAGCTAGAAATCACCTGAGCTCCCTTTAAAGCTATCTCCCTTGGTGGCACCTGTAGAGGATTCTCTTCCGCACGAAGCACACGGAGATGCTGCAGCATTCCAAAAGAATCTGGAAGCACCCTAATCTGATTATTGCTTATATCCAACTCCTCCAGCATCTCAAGGTTGCCAATAGAGCGAGGCAGGGATTGCATGTCAGCAAAGTTGTTCCCGACATTCAGTTTAACAAGAGAAGTGACAAAGCAAAAGTTCTCCGGAATCGACTCAAGCTCATTGAAGCTGGCATCGACCTCCTTCAGCTTAGTGAGAGATGCCATTGTAGTTGGAAGGCTCCTGATATTGTTGTACCTCACAGAGAGGATCTCTAGAGATTCTAGCTTCCCAACAGCCTCTGGAAGAGCCTTCAGGTGATTATAGCCTGCCTGCAATTCCACCAGTGAAACACAATGACCTATTGTGTAAGGCAGCTCATCAAGGTCATTTGTCTCAATCAGTAACTTCCTCAATCGTGTGAGGCTTCCTACTGAATCAGGTAGTGAGACAATATGGTTTGCACCCACGTCAAGCTCCTCAAGATTCGCCAACCTCCCAATACTAGAGGGCAGTGATGTAAGCTGATTTCCCCTCAGATCGAGGCAAATCAAGCTGCGAAGATCCCCAACTGAGTCAGGGAGTTGAGCTATTCGATTAGCATGAAGATCCAGCTTGGTCAAAGAAGAAAGCTTCCCGATTGTTGGTGGCAAAGCCACAAGCCGATTCTCCGAAATATCAAGGGTAACAAGCCCAGTGAGCTTTCCAATTGAATCAGGTATCCACTCAATCTGGGCCATGAGTTTTCCTTTGAAGTTGAGTTCCCGAGCGCCTTTCTTCGCAGCCACTTCAATCATGCTAGCTAGCTTAATGAGGCTAATTTTCTCCTTATCATCTCCTGCAAACCAAATCATCAACCAACCAACACATGAATAAATATGCACTTTCTTTTGAAAGAAATCAACATGCACATAATTCCAGCTTCAATGTAGACAGGGTTCAATTCATTTCCATTTACAAAGTATCGATTGGTCGATAACTAAGAAACTTACAACCAACCAATCAATCAATATGCACATTATTTTTAATAACAAAATCGGTATGCACATAATTCCAGGTCCAAAATAGAGAGGGTTCAGTTAATTTCCATTTACAAAACATCGGTTGGTCGATAACTAAGAAACTTCCAATTGCGTCTGATACTTATCTAAAGAACAACACAAGTTTTCCCAGTTTATAATTTTAACTCATAGAAACACATAATAACTTGCATGACAGTGCACCTAAACACTCAATTTCAGCACAATTTTGGCATATAAAGCGAACTTAAAAAGTAGAAAAGGCTCACCGTAACTGTCATCCAGTCCAACCGCCGCGGCGTTTGCGGCGGCAGTTCCTCCCGGTTTACGTGGACTCGCTGCCACGAGTCCGCCGTCCCACATTGGCGCCTTGGCCTTCTTGACGTAGCTGTCATCCATGGAGACACGCCCCATGCTCGTGCCCACAGTCCTCTCCCCACTGAAGCCGTTGGTGACCAAAGAGGAGCGGCCCGCAGCAGGCAACGGTCCCGCTGATGAGGCCGCCGACGAGGATGACGCAGCACCGGCGGCGGCGGTGGAGGTGATGCGCGGCGCGGCGCCGGTGGAGGTGGACGGCACGCACTGGGACGCCCGCTGGATGAGGTCGTCAAAGAGGGCGTGCAGCGCGTCGAGCTCGAGGATCCGCGTGGCGTCGCGCTTCTGCTCCCGGCACTGGAAGCCGGCGAGCGCGCGGTGCATCTCCTGGGCGACGTAGAAGAGCTCCTCGGGCACGAGCGGCGACCTCCGCAGCGCCTCGACGGCGTCGAGACGCGCCCGCTCCTCCCGGTCCGCGGCGCGCGCGAGCGCCTCCGCCGCCTCCACGTCGTCCAGCGTCGGCCGCGCCGGCAGCGAGCGGTGCAGCCGCGTGATCTCCCCCACCACCCCCTCCAACGTGCCGAACGCCGCCGCCGCCTCCATTCCTCCCTCTCGGCTTCCCTCTCTCTCTCTCTCTCTCTCTTTCTCTCTCTCTGCGCGCGGTGCTCCACCCAAAAGCCCAAGAATTCAGATCTCCACTCCGCAGGCGCCTGCTCTTTATGTGCGCGCCCGCCCCTCGCCGCTGCTCTTTCTCGCCATCGCCAACTGCTCGTCACGTGCCGCCCGTGGTCCGCTGCCCGCCTGCCCCTCCCTCCTCCACCTCGGATGCCCTGAGGATAAGAAGAACAACAGGTGTGTGACGCAGATCAAAGCTTCGACCCCCCGCGAGAAAAAGCAGAGAGAGGGAGAGCGCGCAACTTTCTCGCGGACGCCCCGGTAAACCAAATCCAACAAGGCCAGGCCGGCAAATTCCCAGATCACAATGGACACCTACCTGCCTGCCTGCCTTCCGAGCTCCGACCGACGGACAGACGAAACGACCCAGGCCAAGAAGAGCTCGCCGGCCGGACACGCGCGGCGGGCGGTGGCGGGATCGGGGAATTGGGCGCCGTCTGCCGTGGGTTCTTCTTGGCGTGGCCCTGGTCTCTTGGGACTCTGGGGAAATGAGAAATGGGCAGCACAACTCCAACTCCACTCTTCACGATGGCGTGGCTTCCATTGGAGCCTGCCTCTCGCCTGGGGATGAGAGAGAGAGAGAGGGAGAGGGGCTGCTACTGCTGCTGCGCGCTATCCTATGCCTATCTCGGCATTATTATACCGCCCGACTGGATCCACTTCACTTCATTTGCCCCCCCATGATTTTCCTTGGAGAGAAATTGAAGAGAAAAGCGAAAAGCAGGCGGCTTTTGAGCGATCTTCGCTTGATTTGGCTGCCCGTACCTCTAGGTTTCAGATGCGCCGATTAACACCCGTGTCGTACACTTGTTTATAAGGTAACAAAAATGATCCCGTGCTGATTTTTTTACTAGTGGCGGTTACGCGACATGGTAAGCTGTGATTATCAGTGGTCAGAACCAGCGCACACGTCACAAAACCCCCGGTCCCCGCGGAATCCTTCGGTAATCTCACATTCTCGTGCCAAAGCTTCCATAAC